CAAGACAATAAAGATATCTAAAAAAAAACCTCTTAACTAAATAAAATACTCACTTCTAAAATTTTTCAAGTGTTTTTTTTTTTATTTGGATTTGTTATATTAGGATTAAAATGCCCAAGCATAACACTAATTATAGACATTATATGTTTTTTTCTGTCATCTATTTACTCCTGTAAGAGATGAAATTTTTAATATTTACTAACAATTAATCTTAGTTATACATATTTTAATTTTTCAATATCTTTATGCTTTAGTTCTAAATTAAAAACAATTACATTTTAAAATAGAAAATAAAAAATATGTTAAATTAGTAAAATTTTTGCCAATATAATTAGCAAGTTTTATATCTATCTTGTTAAGTAACCAATTAGTTTTAGCTGTGAAGTTGTAACAAGGGTAAAAAAATAATTGTTGAGAATACAAGGAAGATCCTGCACACATGGTATCATATCATTAATCACGTAACTTTTGAAATCGTAACTCATTGTTGATTGGCTCGTAGAACAATTCACTTGATCCGTAATTCTAACGTCTGTGCCATGTTATATAATAACCAATGTAACTTCTGAACAGGTTTTTAATTAATGTTCATTAAAAAACAACTGCCAAAACGGGTTAACAACACTAATACCAATCAAATAACTCGAAGCAAAATACATTTTATTCAATTAAAACTTGTAAATACACGTGTAATTTTCCAGCTCTTAAAACTTTCGACCCAGTAATTCCCATTTCAAAGAATATTTGACAGTTACTTTTAGGCAAATTTTATATACTGTATGTAAGTATATACACATATCACGTAAATTTAAATTTCTCCCCCTTATTTTGCATCTAAACAGCTAATTTTCCAAAAGTCTTCCGGTGCGCGTTATACGCGATTTCATCTCAAAATTAAAGAAAAAAAATAAAAATCTAAATTTAATATTCTTGCAGAAATAATCAGATTCTTTCTATATTAAAAATACTTTTTTTTTTACTTACTTTCTTTTTTTTTCTTTATTTAAGAGCGGGACCGGAAGTAATAGCGAAACTACAAAAAGTCACCCCAAATTTTGATGTTTTTAACCGATAAACTCCCGCGAGAATAATCTAAAGCATTTCTAACCGTAAAAACAAAATGTAAACAATAAATACGAGTAAAAACCGCATTGTTTGTATACAAAAAAAACAACTAAAATTATTTAAGTTGCGATTATTACTTTTTTTTTACGGAAAATAAAATCGCGTTATACGGATAATTACCTTTACGCTCTTTTTTTTTTTTAAGCTTTCTTCGATATATATAAGTTACGAACGTTCGCACAGATAACAACCTTCTTCCTCCTCACTTGCCTCACTGACACTATACGTTGTGCAATCGCTTCTATATCCTTTTCTACTCATCTAAATTTAGCCTCGCCCGACCAATCCGGAAGGGTTATTTTCATTACTTCATCTACCAAATATGTTATTGGTCGTATCTACATAAACGTCATCGGTTTTTCCGAGTAAAGGTTGCCGCACTGGAACTATCGTTAGGAGTAAATCGACAAATAAACATTAAAAAAAAAAATAATTATAAAAAATTGTAATAAATGTGGGACAATCTTACAAATATAAATTTTAATCTTTATAAATTGATATATTTTATCGTTATTTTTAAATTATTTAATTTTGATTGTAAAGTTTAAATGATCTTAAAATTCTGGATCAAAATCGTGCAATTTTTGTAGACAAAATTATCTACAAATTACGCAAAAATATCAGTTTTTAAAAATTCGAATGAATAAACTGCTTAAATTTTTAATTCCCAGTTTTAAAGGCTTGTCATTTCGACTGTTTTTTTTTTAAAGTAAATTAATATTAAAAAGATTAAAACTGTTAATTATTAAAAATTTTAGGAAATCCCAAACGTCACACAAAAGAAATTAATCATCGTTTACTTAATACATCCGCGATATTTACTTTATAATCGCGTGTAGATAAGAGCGCTCGAGATAGGCATCGTCCCTATTATTAACAATATTTTTCCCTATTTTTATAGATAATTTCTGGCGTTTAGAAGTATATTTATATAATTCTAACTTAATAAAAAAAAAACCTGTCGGTAAATCAACTTTTTTTTTCTAATTACAAGTTTAGTTAAAAGCGTATGTTACATAATATTTCCTTCTTAAACATTTAAACTAACAATTAGCTGAAATTGTTTGGAGCAGGAAACAACTCCGGGTGACTATAGAACTACTAAAAATAAATTAATTGTAGCATTTGTTTTTATTTCGAATAGAAAATTCTATATTTCTCTTCCGTTCGTTTGTCGTTTGATTGCATCATCCCATTCTTCATCCATTTATATAATATAATATATATACTGTATATACGTGTGTGCTACACGCCTATACCGGACTGTAAGATTATATAAGTAATGTACACTACAATATTCCACGTGTTTTCGTAACCTTCTAATAGATTACTCTATTACAGGTGTTCTGCCATGTACACCCATCCGGGTCACTAGCGCCTATTTTTCCTGTTGTGTAGACAGTATTAGAAAATGAAACTAATTTAATTTGAATTAATGTTTTAATCATAACTTTAATTACTTAATTAAGTATACAATAAATAAAATTAGTACAAGGTACAACTCGTACGCTACTCCCATTTACAGAGTGTAATTGGAACTGATCAGAGTTCATGTTTTCCTGTCAAAGCCTCTGGAGACGATCAAAATATTTACGAATATTAAGAATCGTGATTTCAAATTACAATTAGTTTTATGAATGGATACGAGTAAATATAATGTATATCTATTGTTATTCCGGGTTGTTATCGATCGATTATATTGCTGTATATGTAAAGAATAAGTTAAGAAAATAATATATAATTTTACCAGTAATATAACGCTGTAAATTATCATTTGATGCGAGTAAAATATTTCAAATTACGACCTTATCGTATAAAGATTTAATAAAATATATGGGGTGGACCAAAATTCGGTTAACCATTGCAAAGATTATTACCGATTTTGTAAAAAAGAAAACCACACTGTTGGAAATTCAGTTTATGATTCACATTCATAGCTGTAATAAAATAAATACCCGATATTTATTCAAAATACAAGGAATATTTATAAGGATAAAGAATAAAAATCTTAATTAAAATCCTAACGTTTATAATTAGCAGTTTGGTTTAATTATAGCTTCAACAAAACTAATTTTATGAATTTTCTTTTTATTCTAGTCAAAAGAAAATTTATAAGCGCACAAACGCATTCAGTCACGAAGTAATTTAGATTATTTACAAATTCTTTCGATCACGAAAAGAATTTTTTTTTTTCCAAGATAAATATAGAAATATTTTTAAACAAAAATCTAAAATTCCTCTAACCGATTAGAAATTACATAAATTTCTTATTAATTTATTCTAATTAAATCAAATTTTATTTATACTCGAATATGAAGATATTTATTAAGCTTTGTCGTCAAATATCTCTGTTTATTTGAGTGTTTTAATTAAAAAAAATTGGAATTTATTACTATAAAGCCTCATGGAAGAATTTTTTTTAAAATATGCATCCTAGAACAGAGGTGAAGAGGGCCAAATCCAATTTAATTAAGAACAATCTCACAAGGCCGCATGTTTCTGTATTCGGCGTATAGTACATGTATAAAATTATACATTAATTAAATATAAAAAAATCTTTTATAACTCAAAGTTCATGACATAGGCCTGCTATGATATCGCGCTAGAACTGAAAGGCTGCAAGATGCCTGAAAGTTCCTGGCCTGTCCTAGAAGATAGTAAAAATTGGATTTATGAAAGAGCTAGGCCTATATGAGACTTCTTATTCTTTATTTGAAATTATTATTTAATTCGAGTCTATAAATAGCATGCCTTTATATATATAAAGCGTAAATAAAGTTAAAATATATTCGTGAAAATCCCAGCTCTTTCACACGCGAGATGATATAGAGCGTAGTTATTAAAGTTCTACGTCATCTCGCGTGTGAAAAATTCGTAATTTTAGCGAATTCATTTTACCTTTATTTAATCGCTATATATATATATATATATTATTAATAGNAAATAAATAAATTTAACAAACCTCACGACACCCCCCAAAAAATATAAAATTAAATGTCGAATATATAATAAATATCGACTTTTTTTTTTTTTAAACTTGAGATTAAACTTAAGTTTTAAATTTTTAATTAAATAATATTTAAATTTAAATATTTGTATAAACGTAGAAACATTTTAGCATCAGTAATAAATTCGAAAAATAAATATTAAATATTACATATGTAAGATATCGATTGTAACAGTTCGCTGGCGGTCACGTGACTTTTCGATCTTTGACCGTGAAAGATCGCGCGTCCAGTCGAGTTAAAGCGATAAACTGGTTTTAATGAAATTGTTTATACAATTATTAAACATCTTTCTACATAATTACTATTGAAACATTTTTTTAAAAGATAAAATACACAAATTTCTGTAGAAAAGTTTATTGTCATATGGGTATTATACTTCGATACAATTAAAACACACAAACACTCCATTTTAAATATTATAATAGGGTCATTTAACGATTATTTTAGCTAATTTTTGCCGAAAATGACTCGAATTTTAGGTGGAAATCGTCGAAATTTCGCTCTTATAACCCGCTACGTCGGGTTACAATTTTTATAGCATCGTCGATCTTATCTCGGTGTTAAAGTGTATTGTGACGTTTTAAAAAATGATTTATTTTTTTAAACGGTAATTTTAGAAGAGAAAACGGCCGGCCTACCATTTTATCCGCTTACAACATCACCGATGTAAAATATTAAAACGAAAAATCATCAAGTAGAAAAAAAAATATATTAATTTCATTAATAGAGTTTGCACGAATATATACGCTAGAAATGTATAAATATTTTTTACATCGCATTAAAATGTGCGAAAAAAAATTGAACATTAAAAAAAATATCTATGTATATATTATGCATATATATTTAAAAAAAAAAATGACGTCACAAGCCGGGTCTTTCCTTTCTTGACCGAAGGGGAAGAAATCCGCCATCTTGAAACGATGCAAGCATTGACCCGACCGAAAGCAAACGATGCTGGGATTGTAACTGTTTATTAAGCAAATGTTATGACATTGCGTTGGAGAAAATTGATCAGAGGAATCGTTTACGACATAAATTAAGAAGGTACGAGGATCCCGATCGCTGACAATGTAACGTTTGATCGGAAACGCAGAGGATTTGTTTGTGTGTACGATTTCTGTTGTTTTATCTCCGTTCGTACGGTTTACACTTCGCAACTAATGGATTGGGCCAGAAGACGGCAATGACTATACGTATTTATCACGGATACAAGACAATGTACACCTATGTCATCTTAACGTGTTGTTTAGGAATCAGTGCGGGTGAGTCCGGAATTATGGAATTGATTGACTTCTTGGCATTAAATGCTGCTCGGATTACCTCTGACCTATTTCCTGGCTCGTAAATTCCTAGCTCCATGCTAAGTCACCATTTCCATATATTCTCTTGCCATTGTTTACTTATAATATACAATTCTTATTTACGGTAAAACCTCCGTTAACGGACACCTTTGCTTCGCGGACATTTTTTACGATCCCAAATCCTTCGAATAGGACGTATCTTATATTTACCTCTAAACAACGGACAAACTGATCGGTGTCCGCTATTCGGAGGTTCTACTGTACTTCCTTACACAGTAAACTAGTGGTTAACGTGGCTCGGATGCTCTTAATGGTAATTTTATGTAGAGATAATTGTCCCGTGCCTTCCTTTTTTTTACATTTTACGTTGTTATGTTATTTTAAGAGTTTTTTTGGAATTTTACACCTTAAAAGTGGCCTGTTGAAATTTTTTAAAAGCTTTCTGATGTCGCATTCTAAATAAATATATACATTTGTTAGATTTGTTTTACATTTTAGAGAAGTGGACCGAATATTAAATATGCAAAATTATTGGAAGATGTCGAGCGTGGATTATTAATGTCTGATTGAGTCCGTCTAGTTTTTCTTGCCCGAAAATCGATTACCAAAACAAATAACTGATGGGAAAATATATAAACAATGTAATTTTATTGATTATATAAACAAATTTTCACTTAAATTTACTTTTTTTTTTTTTTTCATTGATCTTATATAAAGGTAAAGTTTATCCTACTTTTCTGTTTGTATTCAAATAAATTTAATTCGTAAGTAATGTTTAAATAAATTTATATAGGATCTGTAGGAAATCTTTTGTATTTTGATTTCCTATACAATACATTTCTAATATTAGTATATATAGTACATTTAAATTGAAATGAGGAATGCACTTCAATTGATTTTAATGTAGAATAGTTAATTATATCATTTTCTCGTAGGCTCTTTTTTATTTATCCGGTAAGTGTTTAAAATGAAATCTTTTATCGATTTTCATTTTATTGTAAAATGTAAATGATGACGATGTAACTTTCTGTATGTTTTGATGATAAATCACAAATATTAAGTAAAACGTAGCATATATCTTAATATTTCTGTTTTATTCTTGAAGATTGCGTACGGCAGCTTTATTCTCTGGTCGTCTCGTCGTCTTTTAACTTCTGTTACAGCATCAATTGTTTGCCTTGTATTTATTGAATAAATTAGAATGATGTGAAGAGCTTTCATTTAATATTTATGGTAGTTTATTAATAGGAAGTTTTTAATTAAAATTATTTATCACATCATATTTAAAAACATTACAGTAGAAAGGTTTAAAAATTTCAAATAGAAATAGTAATTCTTATTTTTTTAATTTTTATAGCCGTATAATACTAACTTTTAGTATATTTTTGTCCTATGACGCTATCTATATCGTAATTATCGTTCTCTTTGATGGTATAGTATGGTCGTTTAACAAATGTAAGAAAATAATTAAAAATTAATTTTATTTTAATTACATCAACAACATTTAATTGTGTACAAGTTAAAAATGATAAAGAAGAGGTAAATTAGTATTATACAAAATTTAAATGAAGGTAAATTAATATAAATGTGACATTCTACTTTATTTCCACATTTCATTTTCATTTATCATTTATTCATTCCAACTAAGATAATTTATAAAATTAGTGAGGTTATTTTCTATAATATTGTCAAATTGGATATTTTTTTTGTTTCAGTTATTAAGGTGAATATGATTGATTTTATTTGTTTATAAACTATTATAAAAGATATTCAGAAACGATCATAGTTTCTTTGAAATTATTTATTAATGTGGAATGTATGCATTCTGAATTATTCTTGAATGCTTATAAGCTTTTATATTTATGGTTTTATTATCCTATTTTGTATATTTTATTTACTATTTCTGAACTTTAATTAAGTAAAATGTTTAATATGTATCAATTGAAATGTTATGTAAACAGGGAAATTTTTCTTTGCATAATAGTATATTTTGAGGATTCTGTTTGTCATACATTCTATTAAAAATATAAGATACGAAACAGAATTGCATAATAAAAATTGATGATGAAGTAATGAAAAACTATATTATTTATTGAAAGTATGTTTTAGCTAATATGAATACTGGTAGAAATTCTAAGAAAATAATAATAATAAATGCTAATTCAGAAAACCAAAACAAATTTTTTATTCAGAAATGTTCTAGTTCTTTTAAAAAGAACATCATCAGCTTTGAAATTGCAAAGTACTGTACATTAAAATAAATTTGAAATTTAAAATTACGGGAAAATTACAATTATAATTCGTTATAACGTATACTTTGTAATTTCAAAGCTGATAATGATCTTTTAAAAGAATGAAAATGTTTCTGAGTAAAAAATGTTTTGGTTTTCTGAATTTAGCATTTTCTCTTATTATTTTAAATATGGCACAAATTCCAAATGGTATTTTTGTTGATTCTAAGAAAAAACTTCAACTTAACAATAATTTGACAAACAAAATGTTCTAATGGAGCATATTGGGTCTACAAATTAAAAAAAATAGAATATAATTTCAATTACTTTGAATTTTAATAAATATTTATCTTTAGGGTTATTTGTACTTATGCAACCAGGTCTAAAACTTTAATTTTTTGAATGCAATTTCCAAAAATGAACTTTTTAGGTTTTTATAAATTGTATTCTAAAAAAGTTTTAAACTGCTTGGTCCAAAAGTATTTGGGATTGTATTTTATTTGTTTAATTTGCATTTATTCCAATCAAGCAGAATTTTTTTGCCCAATAGAGTTTTCTTAGGTATTATGATGTATTTGATCAGTGTAGAAATGCCCTAAGCTGTATCATTTTCTAATAATTCTAAATATTTAGAAGAGATGAAATTATTTTTTAAAATATTTAAAAAATTTTCATAGGTTGGAATTTGAAATTTCCCACTGTTGACTGTCTGTTGTCCTTCCTGAAATCTTGTTAGGTAGATGAAAATCAAGACCAGATACGGAAAGCTTAGGGACTGGAGGCCTCAATTAACTATATTTGAACTTCTGGTCTTGACCTGGAGTCATGTGATTTTTTAAAATTAAAATATGATAAAAAATTGTAGCCTGGCATTGTGACAATGTCACAAAAATCCAATTTTTACCAGTAATTTTTATATTTATCAATAAGTCAAAAAGAGTATAATGCCTTATTAAAGTATTTTGAATATGATCTTACTGAAAACTTAAATTTAATAGCATTCAAGTGCTGATTCTGCTATAATTGATCAATAAAACAAAACTGCTTTATTTAGATAGCTAAATTATTTACTTGACAAGAAATGTTTTTGGTCTATTCTAGTCCATGCAAAACCTGAGGCTGGTTTAAAGACAGACCAAAAACATTTGTCAAATAAATAGTGTGGCTATCTAAAAAAAAAAAAGCAGTTTTATTTTATTTTATTGATTGGTACATAGTAAAAGACGGTGTTAAGGTTGTGCAGTTTGAAGATTAAAGTGCATCTCTTTGACATTATTGTTTCTCAATTAAGAATTTTTATTAGAAAAACAATAATGCATGAAGATTATAACACTTCTTTTGATTTAAAATCACAATTATTTGGAATATCTAAAATAATTTTATTTCTGTTCTGAAAGACTATGATAAATTAATAAAATTTTGTTTTTTTAACCATCTTGAGATGCTAAAACTAAAATTTTAAAATTATTTTGCTTCTTTTAAATTTTTAGCTATAAAAACTCAAGATATTTTAAGTTATATTAATGATTTTAATATCTTAGATATTTGAAATTTTAGTAAGAAAATACTGCATGAGTGATGTTTATTATTAGTGCAGTAGTAAATAGAAAACAAAGTACCAGTTACTGTATTTCCTTGATTGTAAGATGTATATTTTTGTACATATTAATGTCTGAAATCAGGATTTCTTATATTCATTGTTATATAAGACAACCAGTTTGACTACTGGTAGAATTCTGAGCAAGTTGGAACACAGTTTATCATCTGCATGTAAGCAAACTTCATCATATCTATTGATTCTATCATTATTTCTGTTATGCGCATGGGTAATACTAGTGTTGTATTCAATTAAGATTTGCTCTTTATTTACCATTTTAAAATGTCTTTGAAAACGTTATATTATGTCACAATATTGAAATAAAAAATATACAGTAGATCCCCCTATAAAACCGTTTCCTATAGTTATGATTCCTATAAAAATTGTGGCAGTATCCGTAAACAACGGTAAAAATAACTCCTATAATACGTAAAACGTCATCGGGCAGCCGAACTACTTTCCCGCCGTCCGTAGCGCCACGCTACGGACGTTTAGGCGGATAAATTGAGTTTAGTATCGTCTGTTCATATAATTATATATAAATTAGGTACTGTACATATAATTATATATTAATTATATATAAATTAGGTACTGTATATATAATTATATATTAACTTAATTTATTGTAACTTTATTATAATTAAATATATATTTTTCGCCGTCTAGCGTCACGCTACGGCGAGTTAGGCGACCTATCGTCTGTCCAGTACTGTAATTTTATACATTTCTTGTGAAAGAAACATTTCTTATTTAACGGCCATAAAAATTATTTATATTAAGGATGTCTCCAAAGGTCAACGAAGTTTTCGCAGAAAAATAATATCAGAAATCGCGGCCGCGGTTTGATGCGCTGTTCCGCGACGAAACCAAGCTTTAGCAACGGGCGTAGTCGAACGGTACACACTCGGTAAGCAATCCTACAATTTTTTGTTTATAACGTAGTTTATACGGATTATTTTCAAAAAAATATACGTATTTTGGAAATGTTGAGTCGAATTAGTCTAGAATCGATTAATTTTATGAAAGAAAACCTTTCAAACAGCCGTAGTCCGTAAACTATGATTCCTACAAAATTGATTCATAAAGAACGGAACATATCTACCGTCTTATAGGGGGATCTACTGTACATTCAA